AGAGCAGGTTGCTGAGAACTGTGGCCAGTTGGGCTTTGGGTATCTCCAAGGATGGAGACTCCACAACCACTCCGGGAAACCTGTTCCAGTGTTTAATCACCCATAGAGTAAAAAAGTTTCTTCTTACGTTTGAACGGAATTTCTTGTATTTCAGTTTGTGCCTATTGCCTCTTGTCCTTTTCCTCAGCACCACTGAGAAGAGTGTGGCTCCATCTTCTTTACTTCCCCCATCAGGTATTGATAAACATTGATAAGTTATACCTGAGCCCTCTATTCTCTAGGCTGAACAGCCCCAGCTCTCTCAGTGTCTTCTCTTACGACAGATGCTCCAGTCTGGTAATTATCTTCACGGTCCTTTTCTGCACTCACTCTAGTATGGCCATGTCTCTCTCATACTGGGGAGCCCAGCACTGGACCCAGCACTCCAGATACGTCTCACCAGTGCTGAGTAGAGGAAGGATCACCTCCCTGGACCTGTTGGTGATGCAGACAAGGATATTGCTGGCCTTTTTTGTCACAAGGGTGCATTGGTGGCTTATGTTTAACCTGCTGCCCACCAAGAGCCCCAGGTCCTTCTCTGTAAAGCTGCTTTCCAGCCAGTCAGCCCCCAAGCCTTTTCTGGTGCATGGGATTATTCCTCCGCAGGTGCAGGATTTGGCATTTCCCTGTGCTGAACTTCTTGAGGTTTCTGTGGGCCATTTCTCCAGCCCAGGTCCCTCTGAACGATAGCACAGTCCTCTGGTGTTTTAGCCACTCCTCCCAGTTTTCTATCATCTACAAGCTTGCAGAGGGTGCACTCTACCCATCATTCAGTTCAGTAATTAAGGTGTTACACAATATTGTCCCCAGTATTGACGCCTGGGGTAGACCACTATTGAGTGGCCTCCAGCTGGACTTCATGTCACTGATCACAACACCATGACCCCAGCAGTTCTGCCAGCTTTCAATTCACCTCACTGTCCATTTATTTAGCCTGTACTTCATCAGCTTGTCTGTGAGAATATTATGAGAGAGTGCCAAAGACCTTACTGAAGTGAAGATAAACAACATCCAGAAGCAGATGAGTGAGAAGCTCCACTCATCCACCAAGCCAGTCACATCCTTGTAGAAGGCTAACGGGTTTGTCAGACATGATTCTCCTTTGTAAATCCATGTTAACTACTCCCAATCACCTTCCTGTCCTTGAGATGTTTGGAAATGGTTTCCAAGATTATTTGCTCCATCACTTTCCCACCAGTGTGTAGTTCCCTGGATTCTCTTTCTTGCCATTCTTGAAGATAGGAGTGACATTTGCTTTCAAGTCCTCAGAAATCTTCCCTGAACACCATGACCTTTCAAAGATAACTGAGAGCAGCTTTGCATTGACATCATTGAGCCTCCTCAGTACTCATGGGTGCATCCCATCAGGTTCCATGGACTTGTGTATCTCCAGTCTGTTTAAACATTCCCTAACCTGATCCTCCTCCAGCAAGGGTAAGTCTTTCTTGCCCCAGATTTCCCCCCTGGTCTCCATTGAAGACCAAGGCAAAGAAGGCATTGAGTACTTTGGCCATGTATTTTGCCACCAGGTTGCCTGCCTCATTCAGTAGTGTGCCCATATTTTTCCTAATCTCTCTTTTGCTTCTAATACACCCATAGAAGCCCTTCTTGTTGCCCTTCGCAGCCCTTGCTGAATTGAACTCCAGGTGGGCTTTGGCTTTCCTTACCCCTTCCCTGCATGCTCATATAATTTCTCTATTTTCCTCCCTGGTGACTTGCCCCTGATTGCACTTCTTGTACAATTCCTTTTTATGTCTGAGTTATATCAGGAACTCCGTGTTCATCCATGCAGGCCTCCTGCTGCCTTTGCTTGATTTCCTGCTCGTTGGGATGAACGGTTCTTAAGTTTGGAGGAGGTGATCCTTGAATATCAACCAGCTCTCCTGGACCCCAGAGCTTTCCAGGACTGTATCCCATGGGATTCTTCCAAGCAGATTGCTGAATAGGACAAAGTCTCCTTTCCTGAAGTCTGGGGTTGGGATCTTGCTTTTTTTCCCTGCTCTCTCCTCTCCAGATCCTGAACTCCACTGTCTCATTATCAGGGACAAGGATGCCCCTGACCTTCACATCCCTGACCAATCCTTCCTTGTTTGTAAGTATGAGGTCCAGCAGAGCTCTTCTCCTTGTCAGCTCCTTAATCACCCATGTTAGGAAGTTGTTGTTAATGCACTGCAGAACCCTCCTGGATTACTCGTGCGCTGCTGTGTTGTCCCTCCAGCAGACACATTGTGCCTCCCCCGGATATTGGGGTAAAGTCCTTTACTTCAAAGTAGTAAAATACTCCATGAGCATCTGGGCCTGTGAGTGCGAGACTTCTACCAGTTGTCTGAAGAAGCCTCATCTACTTTTTCCTGATCAGGCAGTCTATAGCAGACACCCACCACAACATTGCCCATCTTGGTCTGGCCTCTAATACTGACATACAAACTCTCCTGGCTCCTCTCATCTCTCAGCTCCATAAATTCTTGCTGCTTTCTCTCATAAAAAGCAACTCCCCTTTCTGCCATCTTACATGTCTTTCCTAAAAAGCCTGTATCCATCCACAGCAGCACTCCATCCTTTGAGCTACCTTACCACATCTCTGTGATCCCAATGAGATCATTGCCCTGTGACTGCACACAAGCTTCAAACTGTTTGTTCTCCATGCTGTGTTTGTTAGTGTACAGACACTTCAAAGATTTCTAAGCTTCCAAGAAAAGGGATGAGAGCTTTCCTTGTGCTGTTCTATGGGTGCTTCCTTACTCATGTGCATACACTTGAAGTGGGCCCCATTTAGCCCTGTTATGTTGATTATGAGATTTCTCTTGTCCACATCACCCTGTTCACTTCACTTGTCTCATCAGTCCACTCCTTCCTCACTTGATTGTTGATCCTCATCTTACTCCCCTGTTGCTCCTAATTTAAAGCTGTCATCACCAGTTGACTAGACTGTAGGCAAAAATGCTTTTGCCCTGATTAGTCAGGTGGATCCCATCTCTTCCAAGAAGTCCTTGATCATGAAAGATGCTCTCATGGTCATAAAAGCCAAATTCCTGTCATCGACACCAGATGCACAGCCAGTTGTTGACCTGCTGGATCCATCCAGCCCTCTTCAAGCCATTTCTCCTCACCATCAGGATTGAGAACACCACTTGGGCTCCATGCCCTTGACCATCGCCCCCTTCCAGGATCTTCCAGGATTAAACTGAAACTTGTTATTATTGTGAATATGATGGACAGCAGGTTTTTGGATTTGCTCCTCATCATGGAAAAAGCCATTTCTACTGCTCACTACTCTTCTCTCTCACTTATCCCCATGCAACAGATGAAATCAGGGTTAGAGTATGATACTCTATGAAAGAAGGGCAGCACAGCCTTTGGCTGATCTTATGCCTGCTGTGCTAGCAGGGAAACTACAGTCCTGTTAGTCCTTCCAACTAGATCTGTCCCTGGAAGTCACGGCTAAAGGCTAATGCTTTCCCAGGCCTATGGAAGAATGTTGTCCTAGTTCAAGACATGGCATGCTGTTTGTGTGGTCTTTGCTTTTCCTCTAGAGAAAAAGAGTTACTGAAGCATTTTTTCTTACACTTCTGTGATATAAATAAATATTTTTGAATGCAGGAAGTTAACCTTTCCCTAACCCTTGGGAGCTGGTGTCCAAACTTCCTTGGGTTTGCCGGAGTAATCAGAAAGGCAAACAAGCTGATGGATGAGCTTTATTCATTGACCTTCTGCCTAGCTCAGCATTTTTACTGATCATGTATTTTGAGTTAGCAGATTTATACAGTTCGCACTTCATTATCCAACAAGCATAGAATACTCAGAAGTGATCTTAAGTAGTGCAGATCTTTCTGCAATTTCTGGGTTATTCCTGGATGGGTCATAAAGCTTTAAAATGCAGTGAAAGTTAATCAGCGTAGATTTCTGCTAACAACTTAAGTAGTCCTTTGCTTGTAAGTTAGCATGCAAAGAGGGGATGGCACATAGAGGGTTTTGATCTTCTCTCTTGGAAGTGGTCTGACTGACATACTGGAGAGCACCTGAGTGCTTTTGAAGGCACAGATCATGACCTAGGACTAGATAAGTGACAGAAAATTGAAAAATACTTTTTTTGCCAACATAAGTCATTCCCACACTTTGCTTTGGGATAGACATCTGATCACAGAGGACTCTTCCGTCATCAAATCCTCCCTAGCCAAATACAGTCTAGTCCCGAAACTGGCTGAGGTGTGCACCCTCTAGCCTTAAAGTGGCCATTCGCCAACTTCGGAAACAAACATCTTCCATCTGGCCAAGGATATTTCATTGTGTTCTTTCTTTATATCAACTTGTGGGAACTGTTACAAGCAAAATATGAAATATGAGCAGTGAAAGCATCTTTTGCAATAAGCCTAAATGGAAAATAAGGCAAAAACAAACTCAGCGCAAATCACTTCCCCTTTATGCCTTCATTTCTTCATTATTCTTTGTTTTGCTTTTGGGGTTTGAAGTGTGTGTAGTAAGTGGAATGCTTAAAGTATGAGCTATTTTACTTTGTTTTCACTATGGTCATTGTTGAAATCCTTTAAAAAGGAAGTCCTATATCTTGGAAGACAAATAGCAAAGTAATTCTTTCTGCTAGGTAAGAAACTGTACCAGGAGAAAAAGTGGCTGGGCCGTTCTCATAGAGCAGTACTATTTCACATCAGAGAAGGAAGTGGTTAAATGCCAGGGGTGATGTCTTCTTAAAAGAGGTGACTGGTACAGAGAAAAATAAATGATACTCACGTAGCTTAGTGGCAGAGCGAGGAAGGAAAATGTAACCCCGAGGAGAGCCACTCTGGAAAGAAAGTCACCAGTGGGGGTACGTCAGCTGCTTACCCAAGTGTCTGCATTGGCTTCAGCTCCAGAGAGCTGTAAGCATTTGGCATGGGGACATGGAACGCGGTGCCTTCACACTTCCTCCAGACTGAGTACTTTTTTGGCTATTTTTCCCTTTACAGGAACCCAGACCTTTGCATAACAAAAGGTGCCAGTTTTATTCAAGTGGCATAGGATTCCTGTATGATGCCTACCAGACAGAGGTAAACAAACTCACCTCATCACATGTTTGTTTCTGCTCTGCTTTGAGGGGCTGGGGAGGAGGGAGGCAGGTGTTTGAGAGCATGTCTGTGTATGTAGGTCACGGGTTGATAGAAATCCTACTGTTTTTTCTCCCACAAGTGACTCCCTGCTTGACCAAGCCTCTGATGATTGCAAATCATTACAGCCAGTGAGGTTTTGAGTCATCATCAGTGTTTCTATCCAGTACATTAGTCTGGGACTGGAATGATTCCTAGTCCATCTATACTGTGTAATAGCTGTCTGGAATGTATTTGTCACATTGGCATCTTTCTCTAAGGAGGTTTTTGTAGACTTCAAGTGGAATAGGAAATATCTAAATGAATCTATTTGCATTGTCCAGAAGACTTAAAATCTTCTCTGTATTTATCCAGCACAGGCCAAGAATGTCAGCAGTTTGAATGCAACTTTTTTATTATCTCAGTGATATTAACATGGTCGGAAAAGTGCCCATACCGAAGTGGCTAGCCTCCTGAGAAGTCCAGATTTAGTTTCTTTTCCTATTTTTCATTTTATTATTGTGGTAAATTGGTGAGAGTGAAGAGGAAATCAAGCAGAGCAGGATTGAAAACAGCTAAACAGTGGTATAACTTACAAGAAGCCAGATGTCCTTCATCACCGTTCCTCCCATGGCTAAGAAAAAGTGTATGGGGAATGTTACCATTAATAATTCTAGACAGCTTAGCAAAGTATATTACCGGGTTAAGCAGCTAATACTGCTTAAATCTTGCTGCTAGGGCACCCCTTTGTTGATTCCAGAAAATGTATGACAAAAATATTTCATTGACCTCCTCATGTAAAGAACTACCCAGACAAACTTATGATCTGTGACAACACCCTTTCCTCTAAGTTTTACTCCATCCTCTTCTAAAGTAGGCATGCACACTCAGACACAGAGATGGCCCGAGAAATGCTTCTGATTCCTGTAATAAGTGTGTAGCTGGCGTCACACTGACCACAACTCCCTGCAGGTGACCCTAGCCTCGGGCTTCTGGCCAGACAGGTTTCCCCAGCTCTGCAGATTCTGGGAATGTCTAAAATTGGGCCACCCAGAGCTCCTTGCTCTATTCTGGCAAAACCTCCATATCTTTTAAAAGTGTAGTTAGCTTGTAATAACATTCTTGTCTGGTTGTCCACTGATCTAGAGTCAGCGTGTGCTAATTCAGAGTTAATGATCCATGGCATCTGAACTTGGCTTTTGCTTTTCCAAAGTTAGCCAGCTAGTGAGCAGGGGACATACTCTGCATGCCAGGCGAACACCTAACTAGGAAGACAGATTGTTTACTAAGTGCAAATCTCCTTTTGATTGCCATCTCTAGCCTGTGCGTGGTCTCCAGCTCATGTAGTTTGCCTGTTTCGGTTCTTCTCTTTGCTCAAAGCAGAAAGAATTTGATTTTCTTGCAATTACCATGAGGTGAGAACATATCTTCAATTGGTGCTGAGGGGATAGACAGGCACAAACAGCCAGAACATGAAAAATCTAAATGTCTGGTCACTGAAATGAAATAATAGGTCTTGACATGCAGAATGCCCACAAATGGCCTGTTTTCACCACCCTTGCTCACACCACACAGTAATTTGTTTATTTTGGTTTATTCACTGTTCTCCTAAAAAGGAGTGTCTTGCTTTTTGCATGTTTTAAAAATGCAGTGATAAAAATAGACAACTACAGTAACTCCCTTGGCCAACAATATAATATGTCTTGTAGCCTAGAAGCAACTAAAAACATGTTTAAGATGTTGCCGATCTCCCTCTTTTGTACTTCTAGCCTTCTACAGTAAAAAGGGACAAACTGATGCTTGGAGAGGGGAAAACTACTTTTATTTCCTATCAATCAGAAGTGGTCCCCAAAGCTATGTATCAGAATAATCCACCTTTTTAACAGCCCACTCCATCTTACAAAGCCCTCTGATCCCGATCATGCATGTGTAATGGGAAAAGGGTCTTTTAACTATGCAGGTCCTAGGCCATTTTGACTGCATACAGGGGGTCAAAACCGAAGTCTTTAAGTTCCACTCAGTGCAAAAGCACTAGGGCGTCCCAACAAAATGGCTGTGGTAGTGGATACATTGGCACACTCTGCTCCAGGATTAGTTTTCAAACTGCTTTGAGAAGTAGCCAGGTGTGGTGTTTCAGTCACTTCTGACCTGGTCTTGATTAAGCCGACGCAGACATTGATGGTGGCACGCTCCTCTTCTGCAGTAAATTGCAGCCCAGGCTGAGGACAGCTGCAGCTGAATGTGACTTCAGGCCAACAAAGCCCTTATGTGAAATTCCAGTAAGTTCAGACACAACAGAACAAGGGTGATGAAACGAGGTCCTATCTTTTTCGTGTAACATATAACATCACTAACATATTCTTGTGACAAGTGTGATGTGTCTGTATCAAGCTGTGAGCTCCATTTCCAGATTGCAACCTAGACTGAGACCGTCCTTTTATAACCTAACTTCCATTTTGGGTTAGAAGAGCTGATTTGTATGAGACACTAACCACAGGTACAGCCTTGTCCTGCACAGCAAAGCAATCCCAAGGCATCATTTTAACTTCCTTTTAACTTTAGCTTTGTCACCCAACTTCCACTGCTCAAGCAAATCCTGCTAAGGACAAGTGTGGCAAGTCTGAGACAAGCTGCAAGATGAACTTTCTCTGGTGCTGAGTGCGTGTGTTTAAGGCTTTCCTTTTTGCTGGGAGCAAACACGTGAGGAGTACAGACTCATGAACAGTGGCAGTTTCCACACTAAAAAGGATGCACACATCCAGAACTCGGGAGCTGAGAAACATCTGGTTTAACATCTCCTGTGGAGACTATCCCACAGACTAACACATTGATGGCTAACCAGAACTCGGGAGCTGAGAAACATCTGGTTTAACATCTGTGGAGACTATCCCACAGACTAACACACTGATGGCTAAGCAGAACTGTCTGACAGAAGCGTTTCAAAAGCAGGCATGTGTTCCTAAGCATGCTTCTACTTTTTCATTATGAGGAATTTTCCATTCAATAATGCATTTTATTTGCATTTTGTGAACAAAATACTTCTCAGTGGTTACAGTACATTTTTTCTATCAAAATAAAAACTATAGAAAGAATGTGTTTTCTGACTTGCTAGCTTTTAAAACCTGACAGTTCTCCAGGATTTCAAAGTCAATAAGCTAAAAATCTCAGGAAAAAAAAGCCTGACATATAAAATATTTCAACTGGTCTGTAGTGCCAAATAGAAGTGATTAATGCTTACCACACTTAAGGAGTCATTAAAATGACTTCTTGTCTGGATGGAGAGTGGCTTACGTGTGCCTACCTTTATTGTTCTAACGTGTCCATTCCTGCAATTCCTGCTTACACAAATAAACCTTTTCAGTGTTCTCTTCAAGAGCCTGCAGTAAATGGTACTTATTTGCTGGAGTGCTTGGATCTTTTCTGAGCTTTTTTTTTGTGGGTTTGGAGATTGTTCTTCTTGTTGTTGTTCCTAATTATTTCCTTCTTCAGGAGGGTGTTACTGAAAGGAGAGAGCTCGTATTGATTGGATGCTGTTCAGACAAATTGGCTTCTTTGCCCATTTCCCCACTACAATGGAGTGGTATTCTTATCCACTTTAGTGGCTTGCTGTGGTGTATCTCTCAGGACCCATGGTCCCTGCGTCACAACCATAGGGATCCGCATCTCACAGCTGCAGACTCTGGGTCTCGGCAAAATAGCGCCAGGCAGTGCAGCAAAGTGCTTGAAAACTCTGGCAGCCCTGGCTGCAGGTCAGTGCTGGGGGCTCCGGGCTCCACAGTGCAAGTGCCCTGAGACTCAGGAGCTGATGTCCCGAATGAAACTCCTGGGAGCTCAGGGATGTCCTTCTGCCCTGCAGCCGTGGATTTTGGAATCTCAGGATCTTTCTGCACAACAGGTAATAAAACCTGACACTGCAGTAGCTGCTTCTTTGTGGTCAGTAGGATGATTCACACAACACTGAAACACTGAGAATAAAAGTCAGTCTCTTCTTTTTTGGCAGGTGACTTGTTATACCTTAAACAGCAAGTGCCAGCTGAAAGTAAAGAGTAACACGTGTTATTGCTGCGACCTGTACAACTGTGAGAAGTAAGTACCTGTGTGCAGTCAATGGCCTCTGAGAAATCCTTGGTTGTTTGTCCCTCCTCTTAAATGATGGGGGCGGGGGTGCCCTTAGGCCTGGAGAAGCAACACAAGGGGCTTGTATGCTGAGCAATCCAGTTCCTCTGCGACTGAAGTTCTGATGCCAGCAGAGAAAAGGTCAGGGGTTGCGTATTAGTGTTGGCATTATCTCAGTTTCTTTTTCTTTAAATATGTCCATAAGCTCTTTGCTGTGTGATCAAAATCGACCACTCAGTCAAAGCCCTGTCAAGATTTACTGTTGATCTTGCAATGCAATTTTCCCATTAGATTTAGTGAATCCTTTTTTCTTCTACCAAACTGGGGGAAACAAAATGAATAGGAACATAGGTGTCTATGAGCAGAGATCATGTTGTAGGCATATGCAGAGCTCTTCTTTGTTAGCAACAGCCTCTGTAGGCGTGGGATTTTGCTAAATTGTCATAGGATAGATACAGAGGCTCTTGTGAGTGTTTTCTGAAGCTGCCATTTGACTTTGTCATTACCAAAGCATGAGATGTCAGAAGATAAGAAAGGAAATGTCTGGATATGCTTATGAAGATCAGTTGAAGGTTAGCACAGGGTTGCCATGCAGCGATTTAACAGGAGTAAAAAAGGTGGTTAGGAAGACTACAGCACAGCAAAGACCAAGGGTATATAATGTGGAAGACAGATGAAATGAACTCGCACAACTGACTGGCCACCTGGCCCATAGAGATTTCAACTGCAAGCAGCATCATGTCTTGCCACACACAAGAAACTGGGGAGATGTCCTAGAGCAGATCTTCTGCCTGACTCATCCTCTGCACACCTCACTATCATCTTACCATGCACTCTCATGAAACATCTGCAACCCTCTACAGTTCACCCACAGTCACTCTTCTTTCTTTCCCTCTATGTATTTCTCATCTTCCTTCCTTCCTGCATCTCCTGTTTTATTTTGGTTTTGCCTCCTTTTCACATGCTAGCAGCCCTGAATAACCCCAGTCCTCTGTAAGCCTTGGCTAGCGTGCTGCCAGACATGAACTTTGTATGTGTAGAGGAATGAGGCTGGCACAATGAAGCTTCTACACAAGGCTTCTGCATAAAAGAGTAGCTCTTGCTCAGATCCTCACTCAACTAGAGAAGCAAAATTAAATTTGGGACTAGAGGGAAGTCATCTATGCATACATATTTCTCATGCACACAAGAGACACAGTGAGTGCAGGTCTATGGAATGGATTAAAATCCCCTATGAAGGTTAGAGTCTTTTGCTTGTGTAAGAAGTGTTAAATCTGGACATGATGGAAGTATGCAAAACAAGTGACATGGGAAAGGTAGAGTATGCACAAATTTGGTACCTTTTCTATGATAGACAAATGATGGAATTTGTCTATCATAGAAAAGGTACCAAATTTTATATAGTTGCAATGCAGTATGTTTACACGGAGAATGCTTTCTTCCATGGTGCACAACTGACTGCTGCACGTTAACACTGAGTCGAACAGTCCAACCCAATACAGAAAAGAACAGGGCTCTTAAAGGGGTGAAAGCATTCAGAGTTATCAAATAAAGTGACTGAAGCTTAAAGCATAAGGTAACAACAAGGAGAGATCAGGAATACTCCCCCTCCATATGGAGATCCTCAGTGCCATTTTTCTAAGACGTTGGTTTTGTCTGGAACACCTGGGACTGATCACTGCTGTGACAGTATTCAATGATATAATTAAACATGTGTGTTCTGCCATTGTCAGCAATCCACAGTGGACAGCAAGATCTTAGGGCACTGGCATGGACAAATCCAGAGTAAAGAAGCAGTCTTGCTGCTCTACAGACTTGGCAATTCCAGTTCATAGGATGGCTAGAGAGAAGTAGGAGGAGGCACAAGCACACAAAGTGACTTGGTGTCAGCCATGCAATAGACTGGTATGCAGGCAGGATTGCAAGTCAGATTTCCTCAGCCTCATGGCAGCTGAAGCTATAGGTTTATTTAGTTAAGCAACGTCTGGGCTCATGATAGGGCCCAAGCGAACTCAGCAGTAGCGGATTCGCAGTGCCAGAACCATGCCCCACAACAAATGATCGGACATTTCCAGGAATTAGTGTGCTTGGCTTGGTTCTTCCCAGAGATGTTGTGGGTTTCTCCACACTGCTACCTTCCTCTGCAGAGCTTTCCCTAACCACCATCTCCACTGCTGCCCCATGCGCTGGGGATGGAGGAGCACAAGAGTGAGCACAAACTTCTGGTTTCCACCATAATCTGATGATAATTTCCTAACAGTGCAAAAACAGACTTGGCATTTAAAAAATCTTTCCAACTCAAATAGCTGCTCTAGGAGCTCATTAGTGGGCTAGCATTAAGGCAGGTACTGGAAAGAACTGCAGGAAACTGTGGTTTCAAATTTTGCAGTAGGATATTTCTGACTTTCGGCAAGACAATGAGAGTTAACTTCACAACGCCTGATTTACAATAACCAGCGCAGTGTAGAAATGTGAACAAACAAAGATTTCTGGATAGTAGAGGCTCATAGTGTAAAGGCTCATCTTCATACTGTACTGTGTTGCATCTGTTAATTTGGAACCACAGACACCATAAACAAATGTAGCCAGCTGGCAAAATCTCCCTTCCTGTGGTTGAATTAATGCTTAAGCAACTTGCCTTCCCCAGTTTCAGAGGTGCCAGCAGATTTCCAGGTGAGCTGGGAAAAAAAGCAATGCTAAGCATATGTTAGCTGGTAGCTAAAAGACAAGGGCAGCATCCATATGCCAGAACTATGCCTGTGTTCAGAGACCCTGAGCAAAAAAAAAAGAGTCCCTGCTGGTGCACAACACCCATCAGCCAAACTAGGGTTGGTATTAGTTGGACTACACGTTTAATGCTGGCATTAGCAAGCCAATTTTTGTCTACAGCAGAGCTTTCTCCAATTCATCTGAGCAGTGTTTGGTGGGAGCATGGATGAAGTACTTTACCAAAGAGGAAAGTAAGCAGGAGGGATTCAGATCCTCTGGTGCTCTGTATTATGTGCAAAACCATTCCCACCGCAGTGACGTTGTCTGCATTCCCTTTCAGTTCAGAGCAGTCCTCCAGCTACTATGAATTTCTCGGCGTGAGCAGCTGTCAGGACGTGGTTCACCTGTATAAGCTGCTGTGGTCCTCCACAGTCCTCAACATCATTGGGTTGTTTCTGGGGATTATTACGGCAGCCATTCTCGGGGCATTTAAAGACATGGTAAGGCTCACAGTCTTTTGCCTTATGTGAGGACTTCTGTGCTTGTTGACGTTATCAAATGGGTTAAAACCAAGGAAGCATAAGTGTACGAAGGAGGCACTTTAAACATGTTTCCTGCGTGATCTGGGAGTCTGGAGTCGTATCTTTAAGGCTAAGCAGTTGCCAGCTGCTCACAGCTAAGTAGGTCAAGCCTGGTCAAATACATGAATGGAAGGGAAAAAACAGGCGTCTGTGTGAACAGATGCTGGCGATTCACTTAGTGGCATCTTTTTTTTTTTTCTTCTAATTCAGCACTGAACATGTGGGCCAGCACAGAGTTCAAGGATGCTAGTTTGTAGCTAACATGTAAAACTCAAGTCCTAGTGTGACTATTTAACCTTATGTAGTTCTTTTCCCAAGAATGGGGATTAACTCTGAAGTACCAGTCAAGTTTTTATTTAAACAAACAGTTGTATTCGGGTCACATTAACCTCCTCTTGTTTCACTAAGGAATGCCACCCTCTAACTGCTCCCTGTGCCACACCACCGTGTTGTGCTGATGTGCACCACTGCATTCAGAAGAGGCTGTGTGCTAGGAGGGATTCTGTAATAATACAGTGCCTCAACTGCCTAGATTTTCTGACGTGTTAAAAGGGTGAAGTAGCTGTTCCTGGGATTATCACTGTCAGTGGTCATGTTTGCTAAAGCAGTGCCTAAAGACCTACCAAGTGGCTCATGATTTACTAGGCACTCAGAAGAGTAGATGGTCCCAGCCCAAAAAGCTTCCAAACTAAATGGGCAGAGGCATGGGGATGGAGGTGAAATGCAGGAGCCGAAGAGAGGTGTGATAGCAGCAGAGGTCATCTTAGATGTTTCTGGTGACTATTCCTCTATTATACTTTTCTCCTCTATTCCAGAGAAGAAAACTAAATAGAAAGACAGGTGAAAGGAAAGAAGAGAGGGATGGAGCAGGGAAGAGAAAGCATGGGAGACGGGTGAGATGTACGCCGGGGGGGGCAGACTAGAGGGAAGGGGCTGGTCAGAGCTGGCAGCCAGTGAGCCAAGGACCCAGTCAGACTGGAGGCCATCCAGGCCCTGCTCTGACCACCCAGCATCCCTTAGCAAGCATGTCCAGGCTATCTACAACATGTGTTGGGTGCTTAAAACCATGTGACAGAGCAGGGCCATATGCATTATTTGAAATAATAATTGCTGGCATCATAATATATAATAATTAATATATTAATTAATAATAATTAATAATATTACTATATTATTAAAATAATAATAATAATAATTCCCTGGCTGCCCAGGGAAGTGGTTGAGTTACCATCCCTGGAGATATTTAAAGATGCATAGATGAGGCGCTGATTCTATGATTCTATGATTCTAAATTCACCTTTGTTAAGAGTTGCAAAATGTTTGCTGGAAATATTCCTCTCTCTAGCTTAAGGCAAATGAGCACCTTGAGCTTTCGTATGTAAGAAATGTGCATCTGAGCTGTCCTTTATGTGAGGGGGCTCTTGCAAGGAGTTGATAACAAATGGACTAGATAGCCTTTAAAGGTCCCTTCCAACCCAAACTATTCTATGATTCTATGAGATTGCAGCCAGCAAGAAAAGAGTTGCGGCTGCCTGACGGGAGGGAGTAGAAGCAGCTTTCCCAGCTTAATTCATCCCCTCCCTGTGAGAGGAGCAATGGCAGAAGGGGAGCAGAAACAACCACAGTGGGAAACGAGGGGCAGAGCAGCTACATGAGGAGGGGAAGGCAGGCATCATCTACAGTAAGTCCTTGGTAGAGCACTGCAGCTTTCCAGTGCTGCTAAGTATTTTCCCCTGCCTAGCAGATGGGTGCTAGGGCCTCCACCAAGGGCAGCTGTGGGAGTTGCTAGCGCTCCCCTGAGATGGGGGTGCAGAGAGCCTGCCTGAGTCCACCTAATCTGTCTCGCACAAACCAAGGCTTACGTAGGATTTGGGCTGATGCTTCGTAGCAGGACGAGCTCCAGCCCAGGCAGACCTCTGTGCTGCGCAGGGGCCATCGCTGCATTGCTCGTGAGGGGTGCCAAGCTGAGGAGACATTCCTGGGAGAACTGGGGTCTCCATGACCTGGCATGTTCCCTTGCTGGGAGGCAGAGCCTGGGTCAAGGTCTGGGTCCTCTGACTGGGCGGCGTAAAGCCGTGCAAAGAAATCGCAGCAGCTGTGGCCGTGCAGCTTCCCCCCAGGCTCAGCTGGAGTGAGTCTGTCAGGGCTCCAGCTAAAAACCTGATCTGAATAAGCTGTTTAATGCCTCCTCTGCAGCGGGAGCGGAAAAGAAACCCTCACTAGCTTAAGGGAAAGATGAGTTTGTGTCAGTTACCTCAGCACAGGAGCCACGCTATGCTTGTGAAAGTGTTACTAAAGCAGCAATCCAAAATGCAGTGACTGCTCCTTGCTCCTGCCTGTGCTTTTTCAGGGTCCTTTTGAGTGACGTACCAGAGCTGGTTTGCTAATATGCTGCTCGCTTTCCTTACGAAAGGACTAACTCTTGGGGGAAGACGGGGGCCAAGAAAACATCAAGCAGAAGAGGGAGAGAAAGGGGCATGGGACTGAAATAAGAAAAAAACCCTTCAAAATGTGTGGGAGAACAATTTTCTTTCTTTCAGGATGTCACCTTCCCACAGAAATGCTCACTGGCATTTTGCAGGGAGAGCTGCAAAGCCCACTGAAACGCCTCAGGGCATTGCTCCGAGATTGACTTCCAGAAAACACAGGGCCAGGCTGACTAGTCAAACAAAATCATCATGTTTATCTCTGGGGAACGCTGGCAGCCAAAACATGTTACAAAGGGGAGAGTTTGCAAAACAGTGCCGTTGCCTCTAAACCCATCACATTTCCTGGACAGAAAAAAAAAGAAGTGTTGTTTTGGTTGTTGCAGGTTTTCTTTCTTGTGACAAATTCCCTGCAGACCCTGGCACGCTCCCTGTGGTTTTCCTGCCTGCCAGAGGGCTGTGCTGGCTCAGTGGGAAACATTTCGTCCTCTCCCGACCCCCAAGGTGTCAGCTCTCAGTGGCCCCTGGTTCACCGGTGAGGCCGTCCTCTGTGATCTGCTGGGTGCTGGGGGAGCTGCAGTGGTTACAATGGTACCCTCCTTTTCAGATCTACAGTGTGCTTGGATATAGGACGCCGGCTAGGCAGTTACCTTAAAGTCACCTTTAACAAAAAGCAGATTAAGATATAATGTAAATAGAAGTATGTACTTGGAGTATCAAAAATGGTAAAACACAGTGATTATTTCTCACAGAAGACAGAGGTAAAGAAATGCATGGAAAACTTCACTTGCTGTAACTAAGAGTTAATCTAGAAACTCCTTTCCCTGCCCCAGTATTTGTCTGATGACTTGTAGATGTTTTCCTGACACACCTTGCCAAGGAATCTGCCTGCCCTGAGTTTAGGGTTGCATTAATCAGAACTACTGATGGTCCTGGGGGTCTTGCTGGCTTTTTTTTTTTTTTTCAGTTAGTCTCCTTCTTGGAGTCCTTATGGAAATCTGAACAGTTTAAATATCATTCCCTTATCCCCTCTCCTCTTCCCTCATCCTTCTCTAAAAAGGAAAACAAAATGAACCCCTAATTACTGAGCTACTTGCCATGCGTTCATGTCTTAGCACTCATGCAACTAAAGGTGCAGTCTGACGTTAAAAGTAGTCGTAGCTCAGAAATAAACGCTTTGGCAGGTCTGTGTCAGACCAGTGAGCTGACCTGCCTCGCTCTGCAGCCACACAGCCCAGCACGCAGCGAAGCAGCGGCTTGCGTGGCCAGGTGGGGGGCAGCCAGACAGCCCCTCTGGCCACAGCCTGGTTTCCCCACGCTCCCTGACCCGAGGTGCCCGCACGGCACTGGCCGCGCTCCATGGCCAGTTCACAGCTCCTTATCTCTTTGACTTGGGTGGTGTTTCAGTTTAAAATGTCTCCACCTACCCTTGTATTTTATGTGACTAATTTAACATAGTGTCATTATGGGAATACCTGATAAAAGCATCTAACCAGCTTCAATACGTGCAAATCGTTGCTGGCTCCAGGCTGAGACCAGATAGCCTGATAATAAGGTGCTTTGATCAGTGGATTTGGGGTGGATGACTCCCGAAAACTGTGTTCTAGGACTGTTGTGATGTTCATTCTTAGCAATTGGAGAGCATCGCTGCTATGGATGGAGAGAACATTAAGAGGACTGAGAGGGGTTCCTGGAAGAAGGACAGCAGCCCTCAAACAGACCCACACCAGAAAGTTGGTGACAGATGCAGAGCAGGCATCTGTGTTTCACGTTGGGCAAAACAAGTGTTTCTTGCCACGTTTATGTCCATAGCCAGAAGGATCTGATTGCGCCAGGGCTTCCCTCCTCTGAGGAAGGGCATGCTCCAGGCGCGGGCCCAGCGCTGGCTGGGGTGAGCTGTGTCGCTGGCCCCAAACCTTTGGGTCTGAGGCAAGCTCGTCAGCTGCTTCTCGCTACTCCTGTCTGAAAGGCAGTGTCTCTCCGTTTCTCCCCACCATATCCACCCAGGAGGGTGGGTAGAAAGGAGATGTTTTGAGGAGGGTACCTTGAAGATGAGAGACTTGTCTTCTCCCTTGTAATAGGCTCTCTGCTTTCAACCCCAGACTTTCTCTGTGCCAGCTCCTGGGGTGCTAAGCTTCTCCAGAGAGCTAAGGCCTAGATTGTCAGGTAACCTCATGTGGGACATCAGTGACCTAGATGATGTTTTCCATGTACAAACACAATTAATGTACCTCTTTCTCAATCACAGAAAGATCTCACACTATCTCCAGAGGATGCAGTGGTTTATGTCTCTCACTGATAAATCTGAAAGGAAATGCCAAAAAAAAAAAAAAAAATCCTGGCTGCTGCTTTTAGCATTTGTCTGGCAACCACCGTATTTTATTATTTCAGTAAAAAGAAAATTCCATGCTCTCATGTAGAGGAATCTGCTGATAAAAACAAAGGAGAGAAAAGAAACCACTGGATTTGTCTTGCTTTGCGAAGTAGAGGGACATGAAAATCTTTCACAGAGCTCTACTGTCCTTCACAAATGGTTATATAGCACAGGGGTTTAGGGTTTAACACAAGCCCCCTTTCACAATTAGCTTTTGCTCTTTTTTTTTTCTCCCCCAGTTGTATTAGCTGGTTTAATATGAGCTATTACTTCCTGCAGACCTCATCTCACATTGCAGTTAAGGGACATGCCAATAAAGCCACAGGATATGATGAAGGATTTTATGCAGTAGGAATGAGATATGCACATATTGGCCACCCAGCAGCAAACTCCATTTCACAAGTGAGAGGGAGCTGTGAAGGAAGAGCAAGTGGTCTGGAAAGGGAGATCTTTGTAGGTCTGTGTAGGAAAGCAGAGAGAAAAGACATGAGGGCATCAGGCAGTTGCTATTGGAAAGGGTCTGCAGCAAATTGTGAAGGACTGGGCGTTTGGTGCTGGAGTGGATAAGAAGAGGCAGTCAAAGCTGTACGCTGTGCTCTTCAGGATGTCAAGGGTCTGGAGTCCTGCCAGCGCTTCTGTAACTGGTGCTAGGGAAGCACCAGCAGTCTTTTCCCAAGGGAAGAAGATTAAAATAGCTGTGTATTAATGGTCAGAAGATTCACTCCAGATACACCCTCCTCTCGTTCTGTCTGTTCCTTCTTTTTTTTTGTAGTACCGGTATTGCGTTGGAAAACAGAAAGTTGTTAAATTGCCTAGTTGCTTGTGTTCGGACCAGTTCCTGCTCCAGCCCGCTCTGCGCTGTGCTGATACATTGTTGTCTTCTGTGCTCAACAGGTACCTCTGTCCCAAATTGCTTTCAGTGCTGCACCTCCTCCTCAGATCCTGTACAATCCTGCCCAGCAGATCCTGACATACACTGGGTTCTGTCCCTCTGCAGCAACTATTTCTACATATCCATCCTACCCGTTACCTCTTCAGGTACAGTACAAAATGGCACCCTGCTTACCAGAAAAGCATAAGCTGCTACTCAGTACAAACTCTGCAGCGGTATATCTTGGCTCCTGGGGGTTTGAAACGAGGCAAAGAAGTTGGATCCCAACTCACAGACTCGTCTCTGGGACGACTTAGTCTGGGCCTAATTGTCGGGTCTGTTCTCAGATCTCAGGCTTTCTCTGGTTATCCTTGGGACTCTGTCTGCTGACCAGGAATCCCAGTGTGGGATTAGAGCTGCGCTACAGTAGTCATGAAGGTGAACACAGCCCCCATGTAGGGCAAGATAAAGCAGCAACAGAGGCATTGGGGAAGCCAAAGGAAGCATCAGATACACACAGGATTTGGCAGAAAAGTTTACACACCTTAGCCCACCTTACTCTTAATATGAGGATAAGTAGATTAGGACTCTTCAGATGGAAAGGAGACAAGAAAGGGGAGGAAATAAGAGGTCTGTGAAACTGAATGATATGGAAAGGATTGTGGGTGGAAATTAGTGATAACTTCTAATCACACAAAGTTTTGGTTGCCCCAGTAAAGCTATTAGGTGGCAAGATAAGCCAGAAATAGGAAGTGTTTTTACACACCAGAGAAGATTCAAATGCCACAGGATGTTGTGGAAGAGTATAAATGAGGGGTTAGGAACATCAGCTGCTGTTAAATACAGGGATTCAGGTGTCACTTGCAGCCCAGCAAGTCCCCAAATGGCTGCCTGCCACAAGAACCAACAGGGGCTCATCAGAAGATGGACCCCTTTTTCTTTTAGCTTCCTATAAGCATCTGCTACAGGCCATCACTGGGAGACAGGTACAGAGCTGCTATGGCAGTTGGTGGAGGTCGGTGAGCCTTACTGACCAGAGGCAGCTGGCCTGAAGGCAGGAGAGAAAACTGTCGGAGGTGCAGCTTTCTCCCCTTGCAGGAGGGGATACAACATGAGCTGAGTCAACACTGCTTCGCCTCCTTCAGAAGGATGAGGTGCAAGTCGTGCTCCAAGCCTGTGCTGCGTCCAGCCAGAGCTGGCCTGGAAAATGCAGGGAGTGGTGCTGAGGATGGTGTTTGCTTTCCCCCCAGAGTGAGGTGAAGAACATAGGGTGAGCTGGTAAATAACTGAATGTACTGAGACCCTGGAGCAATCATAGGAGTTTTTAGATTTTTTTAAAGCACAGTAAGACTGTTTTGTTCCATCCAATGGCTTGTTATACTTTGGCTGTGTAGTGCTAGACCAGTGGGTACCACAAGTTTTGCAATACTTCTTAACTGAAAATACTGCATGTTTAGCATGAACTAGCTGTGGCCCAGCTCCCCACAGCCTCCTGGGCCAATAAGCTACCAGGCACAAGTACCGGGACATGATGACCATCCACACCAATGAATTGTTAGCATGCTCCTGGGATGGGTTTGGCCCAGACCACCTAACAGTCTCCCAGCAACATTCAGGAAGGGGTCAGAAGATGGCAAGGGCAATGGACCATTCCCGGTAGGTAGTGTGCATACAGACAGTCACACTGGTTTGGTGGTAAGAGTTCAGCTGCAGAGATGTGATATGTGGTGTGCCAGTTGGCTTCACAGCCAGAGAACAGTCCTTGGCACGTCTTACTTATTAACATAAATGGGGCCAGGCACTTTTGGAGACCACGGGTTGAGAGGAAAAAAAGAACATCTCTTTTTGTTTGCTTTTAGCTGAAAAGCTGTGCTGTTCTGCAGAGTTCAGTTAGCATGTAGCCAAGAGTAGAGAGAGAAGGGGATAAAACCAGATGAAAGAAAGCGATTAAGCTGAAAAGATGCATGTAAGTAGTCATGAGGATCAATTTTAACTGTTCAGTCCTGTGTCCACTGAGAAACAGAAATACATCATATTTTCCCCAAATTCTTAACTGCATTCCAAAATAAACACAGTTCCTTTCCTAGATTTCTGCTTTTTCTAAGAAGTGTGTTCATTTGTCCTCTCTCCCCTTCGTAACATTCAGAGGCAGACGCCACCAGCTGTCCCCAAGCCAGGAGAGGTTAGCGAGAAGCTCCAAAAGGGAAAGCACTTAATCCTTTTCCTGGGCCTGGGGGGGGAGGAGGGGGGGGAAGCAAGCTGCCTTCCTGCATGTATGAGCTCATTATCTTGTAGTTTGGAGAGAAGTAATTTCTGCATCAGTATATGAGTTAAAAAATCATAATAAACTTACTCAAAGCTACAAATCGTGAATGTTAGAAGCAGGCCCGATTAGGAACAGCTGGAAGCTTAACCGTCATCTGCTTCCATTACTTGAGAGCTGTGGGCTAAATCCATGGGGCTGGAGGTCTTCATGACCCATCTAAGTGCTCCAAGCAGTGCCCAGCTGCTGGATTCAGGCCTTCACAAGCCCTGCTCAACTGGTCCTAGTCCTTAAGGCATCTACAGGCCCTGGGGCTGGGATTCATCTGGCTAAATGCAGGGGCTAGCTGGCACGTAGGGATCTAGTGCTGCCTGACAATGAGATCAGGTAGCCACCTAGTCCCTGCTGCCACTGCAGGAGGGTCCAGATGTGGACCTGTGGACGTCTAGGATATCCCATGGCATCCCAGAAGGGCTGGACACTTACATGCGGGCAACTGAACTGAGCCTTAGCTGTCCATAGTATAGGAGACCCTGCCTGAGCTGGTCTACCCTTTAGAATCCACAGAGAGAGCCACACGTGGATTATCTCAAGCTAAAGATGTATGATGTGAGTGCTACGAATGCACCCTAAAGGCTTTTCCACTGACTAGGGGTGGGATTCAGTTGCTACATGTCACTATGCTGTGCGCTTAGACATCTATGTTCTGAAGCCTTCAACTGAGACATCAAAATCTGAGGCTGAACCCTGTATCCTAGGGGTGCAGTTCAGTTGCCTAAAGATATGGCATCTGAGATGGCCTAATGTTCGCAAGACATCCATACAGGGCTGCTGATGTGGGCCAAGGTCTACATGAGACACACATATTTCTGGAGCAGCTGGCAGAGGGTGCCCTTGGGCATCTCAAAAGGCATAATGTTTTGCTTCCACATAGACCAAGATCCACATAAGGGCCCCAGGACGCACTTATCTTCTCAGCGTTCCCCTTGGCTCGCCGAAGCTTTGGCTAAACACTGTTCCTAAGCCCCTGCATTTCACACTGCCCTGGGTCACACACGTCGTGGTTCAGTACAACAAAAGGAGCAAAACCTTCTTCCCCTAAGAGTTAGGGAAAAAAAAAGTTAATTGATGCCAGTTAATGAAGTAAAGCAGTTAGCAATCAATTACCAACTAGTAACTCTAGTTTGAACCCTCACCTCAACCAGAGGAAATCCACAGCCATAGTTCCTCCTCCTGGGAACATATCCCACTTGGGGTTAGTCTGGCACGCAACATGCCTAGCCTAAGAGCTGCCCCCACTTGCAAGGACTGAAGCTCCATTAGCTCAAAGGCTATGAACCCGAGTTCACCTATGGCTCCCACCATTGGGCCGATTCATTCCTAGTCCTCTGCTGAATCCAGTATCTCACTGAATAAATGCTTGCTGGAGAGGCAAACAAAGCCTTTAAAAAAAATCACAACCTGAGCTGATGGGAAACGCTCTGCAGTTCACCTCGTGCTTCCTTGTCCACAAGCAGAAATCAGCCAAATGCAAAAAAGAAAGGGTGATAACAGGAATGCATTTTGACAAGTATGTAACCAGCATTTCTTTCGTTTGCTGTGGCATGTGCTAACAAAATCATTCATCCCTTACTGGTACAGTTCAGTCACAACTAGTCTGGTAACAGGCCTGCCAACTGGTCAGGTAAATGATTAGCTGTGCAGGGACTGGTGGTGATGACAGCAGTAAAGGTTGTGCCAGTCATTCCTGCCAGAGGAGAACTCATTACAGGAGCAATTCCAGGCAGACAGATGGAAACAGTGGCTACAGTTCGAGGGGGAAGGGAAGCAACAACTCCAAAATAAATTAAAAAAACCAAACCACCCAAAACCCCAACAACTACGTTTGGAACTGCTCTAGCTAGCAGGTCTGTCAGTATACCTGCACTGCCTCCTGGAGAGTTACAGGGCATAATCAACCTTCCTGTCAGGACATCCCCATTCTCACTCACTAAGTCACCCTGTGGTACAACTGCAGGACAACATTCTCCTTGCCATGGGAGTTTGACCCAGGGCAGCAGCCCCTGCTGACCCGGAGCCCCACGGAGAAGCCAGGCACCGTGGCATGGGGTCTGCCAGCCCTGGGCAGCTCTGAGATGCCATTGTCCAAGTGCCAGCCCTGGTACTGGCCTTCTAGGTGGTGACTATGAAATTTTTTAGCAGCAGGGAGCAGCATTTACTTGCCCGGATTGTTCATTTCCCTTGAAAAAGATCCATGATTACTATTTTTTGTTTTGTTTTGTTTTGTTTTTTAAATTCTAGGCACTTTAGGCCTGAACCTGAGGGGAGCTGAGCACAACTCTTCTGATGAAGCCCATGGACTGGCATGTGTTGGCTATGAGGGGAGGAGTGAAATCCTGACCCTCTTGAAATCAATGGCAAAACTTGGTTTAAAGTAGTGGTAGGATCTTATCCAGAACATTAGTCCCTACTCGCATTCTTTTGTTTTAACAAACTCTGCTTGCTCCTGAACATGGGCTGCTTCCTAAGCTCTATCTATTTTTCGTGCACCTTTCAGCCAAAGGCCCATTATACCTGAGACAGCCGAAGTGAAAGACCTACAGGGAGACACATGCCTACCTGTAAAATTTTCTCTTAAGAGGAATCTGTATTTGGCATAGGAATAAGACCCTGCATTTATGCAAGTATTATAACTGAGATTAATTACATCTGAGATAATTTAAATTTCACAGTGATGCCTGGAAACGAGCAGCTACACAAAACCTAATCAGCCAGTCAGGTGCAGTGCCTCACCCGGGAAGCCAGAGCATCTTTTCCTGCAGAAATTCCTGTTCTGCTCTATTGCTGAGCTGTATGCGCAATGTCTATTAAAAATGACTCGGGTTACAGACGGAATCTGTCTTGTTTCACTAGAAACCATCATTGCTATACTTAAGCAGGTGCTTTAAAACTGAGTGTTGTGCTGCAATGCATGAGAAATTTAATCACGGTGTTTATTATATAACAAATATAATGGCAAACACTTAACGCAGAGCTACAAACGGGGTTGTGATCCTTTACTGAAGAAGGTATTTTTCTTTGTCTATATACAGCCTGCCAGCAATTTTCCAGGAACATCATCTGACATCTCTTTATCAGAAGAAACTCAACCTCCATCTCAGTCCAGCTCCAGCTATGGTCTTCCCCCCAATGCTCCAGCCCTCTATACACCGACTTACTTCGTGCCTGGAGAAAAGCCTCCACCATATGCACCATAGAACAAAGAATTTATTTCAGGTAGCTGGTAGGCTTTTATTTTGTTTTTAAGAAACCTCTGGAAAACTGTGCTGTGCAGGCACTAGACTTCCCAAGGAACCCACCGCAGAGTGTGTTATGGCCACTCTGCTTTTACCTGCATCTCACTGTGAGCAGAACAGAACCCTGGAAACGTAAGGGCAGGCACATCACCACTGGGGTGACCAGTCACCACCAGTTTGCCTGCAGTCAAATGCAGTGCTGCTTTCTGGCTACTATAAGCGTGAGTTTTTTCCTTCTCCAGCTACTGGAGAATGATTTTTCTTCAAAAGGAGAAATGAGGAAAGCACCCCAGATAGATATTCTGCTCTCATAAACCGATATAGAGGGGTTTTAGCCTGTGTTGTCTGAGTGGGTAGTCTGAAGCTCTCCAAGTCAATCATTTTGGGTAGGAAGAGACCAAGTGTTTGTTTGCTTGTAGTATCTATTTAATAACCCTTTTTGGTGGAAGTGTTGTACCAATAAAAAAAGTGTGGCAATTATTTTACAATAAAATTCACTGTGTATATTTATACTGTACCTAAGGCTGTGTATATTTGTAAGGATGGGAAAACAAAAGAACAGAGGAAAAAGTACCCTACCGAATAGCTCTCTCTTTCAAGTTTCAAACAGAAAGGTTAATTTTATTGGGACTATTTTATCCAAACTTTGTGCCAGTCCAGTCCGTGTAGTAAAATGTCATGTCAGTGTGCTAAAGATGCAATTTCCAGACTGGTATTTAAGCTGCACTTTAGTGTTCAAATTAATTCCTTTTAGTCAAAAGAGGACCACAACCAAAACCACTCTATGTTAAACCCCAGTTACTTATTTTTAAACTGATCAAGACCTGATCCAAGCATTTTACGACAGTTGAAACAGAACGGATGAAGGTAGCAATGCCATGAACAGGAACAAAGTCTTGTCCCTGTTGTGTGCACCCTGCCCCCTTGCTGTGCATCACATGAGCTGGGATCCCTCTTAGCGCATGGCTGCCATATTTTGGGGCAGGAGTGGCTATACCAGCATGAAAACCCATCAGACTGTTCCATCCCTTCACTGCATTTTGCTCCTGCAGGAAGGGTGGTGCTGCTGCTTGCTCCATAGATCTTACAGTCTAGACAGCAGTGAAGCTATAGAAATTTCCTGAAAGGCCAAAGAGCAAAGCAGGGAAAGGAAGGTATTTCTCATTAACTTTTTAAGCAGCTGCTTCATATTATGAAAATATTAAAAAAAACCTATATAAACAAAACCAGCCTGCTTGACAGTTTCCTTTGAAAGGAAGTGACACCATCAGACCAGCTGAAAACAGAACAAAGAATGATCAGCCTTTTACATAGTGTTTTCCACCTTTCAAGAAATTTGTTAATTTACATGTTGTACCTCTGTGTAAAAAGCAGATTCAGTACTAATACACATAAGATCAGAGGTTAATTTATATGGTCAGTAAAAACCATGTTTTGTTCAATTAAGAAGGATTTTCTGAGATGCAAAGTTCTAGACCAGCGATGTTAACATCAGTGACAAGTTGCCTTACGTGTATTGTTGACAAGGTGAGTTATATGAACCTGGTTAAGAGAAACAGAAGTCAGAGAGGAGACCATTATTTTTCCTTGAAACATTAATTTAACACATCCAAAATGCTTAGATCTTGTGCAAATGCATGCTGTGAAAAGCACAATCACCCTGATCAAGAAATGAGCGGAACTACAAATTTACTTTTTTACTCACTATGAATACTACCAGGGGGACCACCAGGGTTCATTTTGGGGATTCAAAGCCCAGAACAGACTTGCTCCCTCTGAGTTGAGCACCTAGACTGCTAATAGAACAAAAAATAAATCAATATTTCTCTTGGGTCGAAGCACAGTGACTGAGAAGGAATGAAGGAATGCTTATCACTTTTTTCCTCTTTTCAATGGTATATAGAAGCAGCTGCCTCTTCCTCCAGCGGGGTACTGCTGTAGGGTATTAAAAACAATCCAGCTTGACACAAAAGACCCCCGCTTTCTCTAATTCCCCAGACTTACAAACTCTGGCTTTCTCTTCTAAACCACATTTTGGGTTTGGGGGCATTGTGGTCTATGCAAAATATCTTTGCATACATATGCACAGTCTGGGAGAAATTTTTGCTCTGAATTAGGCTGGTTTAGAAAATGGAATTACAGTCTTTTTTTCACAGAATATGAAGTCTGAAACTGCAGCGTACCACACTGTACCACAGGATTCACGTTTCCAGGATCCAAAATAATTCTGGCCTCATAAATAGTACCACTTACATTAATACAAAGGTCAGACGTGTTTGTGATTCATTTATGCCACATGGAAGTTTTTTGGGAACTACCACAGAAATTATACAAAAATGCCAGACATAAGACTATTTTGCTAACATGCTTCCTTTGAAAAGAACAAAGTAAAACAGGGTTTGTTTCATCTACTTGGTTTAAAGAATAGTAGGTGTCTTCCAAGCTTGTACTGTTTTCATTAGAGCTACTCCAAGTTAAAAAGATGGGAGATGTATTTTGGTAAAGGACTAAAACAACCATGAAAAACACACAGAAAACAAAACGCTGCAGTGTGGAAGTGCTATTAACCACAGTATCTTCAGGATTCCTGGCTCTCACTGGAGATACTAAACTAACGTTTCTTGGGTTCTCCATCATATCACAAGTTGATCCAGAGTCATCAACTCTAACAGAAAGCACTCTCAGGAATAACATGGTTTCCCTTGCTCAATAGAAAAAGCAAAAACATAGAACTACTGGGTTTTCCTAGCCACGCACACTCTGCCAATAAATTATTACTGTCTAGTGAGTGCAAAGAGTCTTTTGACAGGTCCTTCTGTAAGTGTAAATGAGTAGGTTGGCTGAAAGCAGTAAAGCTCTGGTCTTTTCTGCCCTACTGCATTACTGCTGCCTAATTTGGTCATGATACGGAGCTATGATGTCATGCTGTCCAATGGCTAAGAGAGTACCTCCCTCTTCTCTGCTAAATGAAACAGGGATCCTTACCAGCAAGTATGTTTGGGATAGTCTTCTCCCTCTTCCGTCCTTTCCTCTGGGACAGTTATATCTCCACAGCTTGGTCACAGATGTTGTTACAGGTGTGGATTATTAGGCTAATCTGTCATCTCCATATTTGACTAGGCAAAGCGTGACGTAGAATGACCAGGAACAATTTATAACAGATTAGGATTAGACATTTTCCATGTTAACCCTCTGAAGCATAGGGTAACCTTAGGCACCCAGTATTTGGATTTCCACCACAGCAGATACCTATCCTTCTCAGTTCATTAATCTGATGCAAGACAAGGATGAAATAAAACAAGATTTAAGTGCCTCAAAGCAGGCTAGGCAGAGCCCACCCCAGCTTCACAAGGATAGTTTAAAAGCTGAATGCACTTTATGGCTTTACAGCCTCTCCCGAGTAAACCCACACGCATATTCTCACCACACTGCAATTCGGCCTGGCTAACTCTCACAGTCTCAAGCCTCTCTGCTCCCACTAGGCTCACAGTGAATGAGGCAACCTAAAAATTAAGCAGCAAAAATATGTCATTGCCAGATAATATTCCCCAATTCTTGACACCTCATCATTTGCTTCAGCGGTTATTGACACAAAAGTCATATGGCTTTCAACTTATTGAGTCTTTTCTTCTAATTGTTTC